TTTTTTTCAAGACAGGGTTTGTGTGTGTATCAAGCCCTGGCTGTCCTAGAGTTACTCTTCACATCAGTGTTCCAGACCCATCCTCTCTGTCTTCCTTTTTAGAAATCCCCAAAGCCTCTTCCCCGAGTTCTTATTATCTCCCCATCTTTTCTGTTTTCCATCATTTTCCCCTGTACTTGAACCTGTATACATTTTACCAATTTGTCCTCTAGTTCATTTGGTCTCTCTTCTCTCATGTCTAATGAATTTGAAATTTAATATTATATAGTATATCAAGTTCTAAGATATTCATTGGCTCTTACATATACTCCAAGTCCCTAGTGAATTCCCAATCTTCCTTTTTGTTTGTTTTGTTTTGTTTTTTTTAAGACAGGGTTTCTCTGTCGCCTTGACTGTCCTGGACTCACCTTGTGGACCAGGCTGACCTCAAATTCAGAGATCTGCCTGCCTCTGCCTCCTCTAGTGCTGGGATTATAGGCACCAGTCTTCATTTTAGTATGTAGATTGGTCCTTACATACTATTCTCGAACATATTAGTTAAAATTATTTCAGCTCTCGGAGGAAAAAAGACTGACTTACTACATGTTGGTTGTTTCTGTTGTCCATATTTCTCTTGTGTTTCAGTCATTTTGTCTTGTTTTGAGCTTGCCTTGTGAGTTTATCAAATGCCTTGTATTGTGTTTTTAAGATCACAGAGGCCCTGGGTTGTTGGTCTTCTCCTGTGAGGGTTACGATTTCTTCTGTCTATCACATGAATTGCAGACAGAGCCTTGTGACTACATCAGGGGTTGATGTTTGGATGAATTGGGCCATACATACTAAATTTAGTGGTTACTCCTAGCAACTGGCCACTGTGAGTTTCCAACTGAAAATCTGGGTTATTTATTCAGGCCAGTTTACTATGATGAACCTGAATTCCCATGTCTGTCTCCTCGGCACCAAGAACTGCTAAGACCTCTCTCTGGCCAACTCTGTCAGCTTTCACTTGCTGCCACTGCCGGCCTTCCTGAAGCTTGGCCTTGTGCAGGAGAGTTTAGGATTGAGAGACACCCCCAGGGAGCCGGTAGCAGTTAGTACTCCTTGTTTAATTTCTCGGAGTGGTCTTCTCTCTGGGACTTTGCCCTCAAATCCTAGCCTAAGCTCCAGCTTCGTGAATTGAGTGCTGTGCTGCTCTCTGCCTGTGTTTGCCGTGCCTGCAAAGGGGCCACGGTGATTGTGGGGCCCACCTCAGTATGCTGCTGCTCCATGGTGCCTGTTATTGATGGTACAGATTTCTGTTAACTATCATGGTGCTTTTCGGTGGGTTTTCTACCTCAGGCACAAGCCACTCCAACTTTGGCCCAGAGCAGAAATGTGCTGGTAATCATTTTGGGTCATTGTTGAGTTGTGAGAGGGCACCAGGTTCCTCTCAGATCACAGGTCTTCATTAAGGTTTTATGCCCCTCTTTCAGGCCAGATATTATTGTAGACACAGCTGAAAGATAGAAAAGATGAGACCTTTAGTCTTTTTAGAGACAGAATCCATTTAGGTTTCTGATTTTTTCATCGTATGTTAATTATGTAGGCTGGTCGTGATGGCCTTTGACTGTGACCGTTCCATGCACGAGTGTCTTGTGCTTCGCTCCTAACCACTCTCTCTACCATGGTTCTTCCCTGAGAACAGCAGTCGTTGCTGTGCTACCTTCATGTCATCTTCCCCCCAGATATGAGAGAAAGCATGCAATACTTCCACCTCTGTGACTAGCTTATTTTGACATATTCTCTGGTTGTCTTCACTTCCCTATGAATGACTTAACTTTATGGCTGAATAGTGCGCGCACACACACATATATATACATGCATATATATGTATATGTAATGTTTTCTTTATATGTTTATCCGTTGCCGATTAGTCCTTGTAGTAATTATCATTGGCTATTATGAAACAGATGTGGTAGGGAGAAACTGGAACCTTTTGGATGATCACACTTTGTTACTTTCTATAAATAATGATAATATTTTGTAATTATATGGGCTGTAGACAAGGTCCTGGGTTCAATCCCATATGCCAGGAAAAAAAAAAAATTACATGAAGACTAGCCCAGTACATCACATTTGTGGACCACTTGTTGAAGGCTAAAAATGCTTAATTATATGTTTTTAAGTTGTGTCTTCCAACAGACGATATAAGTACATGAAAAGTTTACTTTGAAGCATAAGGGGTAGACAATTTGAGTTAAAATTATAGAAAGTAGCTGTGGTGTTGTGACACATACCTGTGATCTCAGCACTCTCGGGGTTGAAACAGCATCATTGAGAGTTCAAGGCCAGCCTGGGCCAGCCTGAGACCTCTCATCAAAACCGGAGGCTGGAAAGGTGGCTCCTATATACCAAGTTCTGGCTGCACAAGCATGAGGACCAGAGTTCAGGTCCCAGGCACCCAGAGACATGCATCTGTAACCCCAGCACTGGGAACGCAGACACTGGCTGGTCCTGGGACCCCGCTGACCACCCAGTCTAACAAAGTACTAAGCTCCAGACAGTCCCTGTCTCAAAAAAAAGGGGGTATGTGTGAAGGAGCAATAGAGGAAAATGCTTAGTTAGCCTAAGCCTCCATGTACATACACACCACACACACACACACACACACACACACACATACACAATTTAAAAACAAGAAAAATAAAGTAATAAAACCCACAGGAACAAATTTATGGGGAACAAATGAATCTATGGAAGAAATTCCTTTTCCTAAGTGTTAACATGAGATCTGATCATCAGTACACTGAAGTTTCCTATTTTAACTTAAGGTTTTTGAAAAACATTTCACAGGTGACTAAGCCCTCATTAAATGTATTAAGATACTTAAAAATGGTCTTGATGTTCTCAGTCAGTCTTCCAGAATAGCTTCCATGTCAGCGTTACCAAGAGAAAATGCTTGCTGCTCACATACCACTATTATATACTGCGGTCAAACGAACTGTTCCACTGTTTCGTTCTTATTCTTTCTTCCTTCAGAAGCTGTATCCACTCTGGAGCATTTGTACATT